CAGACTAGCAGGCGACAAGCTGATCCTGGCATTGAGCAAGTCGCTATCGCTGGACCCGGCACCTTAGGTAGGTTCCTCTGGAGCAGTACACACCCTTGCACATACTGACAGGCTAATATCAGACGTACCGAGTGGTGAATCATTTACACCTCAGCAAGCTACCATTGAAACCGATGTTTCGCCACCTGTACGGAGGAGTTGCCGGTTACAGAGCACCTAGTTTTGTTTTATGTCTTCATATTGGCTTGTCATAACATTTGGCATGCTCCGACAGTTAAACCAGGCGGTCGGGCGGGATGCACGATACATTCTTTGAGCGATGTTGGCGACGAGGGCGGTCAGAGCGGAGGGTTCCCACGGTTGTCCGACTACGCAGTATCGCGTGACTCTGGTACCTCCCACAGAAAAATATTCGTGGAGCTCGCAGTTTCGATCCAAAAAATACAGTAGGGATATCATAAGGTAGCCACGATCTATGCCGACAGATGCATGTAGAGGAATCGCAAGTATGTGAGTTCTAACTTACGAGAGTTGTTGATTACCATAGACTGTCCGACTTCGGGGTCTCCCACAGTAGGACCTGAAGTGTTCCAGCCGCTTGCAGATCGATAGGCCGTCACTTCAGAAAGTCACGTATAGTCGGAGTGTGTCGGACATGGGGCCAGGGACGTCCCAGAAATGAAAAAGAAGTCCCAGTGGTCTGGGGGACTTTCATTTCCCTCTCCGGCATGGTCCGACTGTAAATGATTTTCGAGAAATGGGCCCATCGAACTAGGCTTGATCCTGCGCCTCTTAAAAAAGACTTAGTAGACGAGCAACTGTCTTTAATGGAGGCTTGTACCCGTTTAGTATCAGCGTCGCAGAAGTCCCCCCAGGCTCTCGCGCGTGCTCAAAAAGGCAGGATTCTCCGCCCAAAACGGCAGGTGCACATGGTTGGCATCTCGGCACGTATATAGTCTCGACCTCTTCAACGCTTCCTCTACCCTACACCGAGGGTTATACTGCCTATAACGTATGCGCTGAATGCGCAAAAGCGCATAGAACCTCATCTACACAATTCCTTTAAAGTGGGGGGGTCGAGGCACTAAATGTGGCCCAGTAGAAGCCCTACTGGGATCAAAAATCACGCTGAGAGAACTGTAGCTTTTCAGACTGTCTCCTACTTTCAACGGGGAGTCCCAAAGCTCAGTAGCTCCTCCTGGTACATTATCTACAGGATAAATTACAACTACTAGGTTATAGTACTGCGAGCACAACGGGGAGTCAACAGCACGAAGTTCCTTGCCGTGTATTCGGCAAGGTCCTCGCACGTGGTTTACCACTGCTGCGGCGCCCCAGCTACTCGTTTGGGTAGGGTTCACTTCCAAAAGCGGGCTAAGGGGGGACTTCCCTATGCTGTATCGGAATTATGCACTAGCCTACATCGAACTGCAAACGGCTGTCACCGAACGAGTCATCAGAGGGTGAATGAAGCGCTGCGAGCTAATTCCTCGTTACTTCAATGGCGCGTCCGCGAAATGGCACGCCGTGTACAGTTGTCATCAAACTAGGTTGGTCAGTGCGCTCGAGAACGATCTCTATACCGGTTAACTTGACGATCCTGAATTCTACGTGCTAAATAGGCTCTTCTTCGATCGTCCATGAGAAAACACACAAACCACTGCTTTCGACACTGTCGGCGTTGGTCGAGACGGTGGTACACTTGAGAGCCCAGGGTCACAAGGTCGTCTTGGTTAGCTCCGGAGCCATCGCGGTTGGACTTCAGCGGATGGACATGGAGAGTCGGCCGAAGAGTCTATCGGGGAAACAGGTGAGTTGACTGATCCAGTTATTGTACGCGCGTGGGCCTGGTAGAGCCCCCACGAGCGTAGGGGGGGGGCTAAGTTCTCCGAGGATTGGCCACGAGGTGGTTCGGACACGAGTGGGCTAGTGGACTCCTGGAGGAACTGCATCTTGACCTTCATCCTCCTTTCAATCTAAACAAATGTAGTCAGACTGATGGCCATGTCTCTATAGGCACTGGCAGCCATAGGCCAGGGGCGCCTAATTGCCCTATGGGACAACCTCTTCGGCCAACTAGGACAGCCAATTGCGCAAGTCTTGCTAACGAGAGGGGACATCTCCGACGTAAACTTTCTACGCTGCAATGCAAAATTTTCCGTCCTAACTTCTATGTCGCACTAGCGGACACGATACTTGAACGCCGTCAACACCTTCCAAGAGCTGCTGTCTCTGGGAGTTGTGCCAGTAGTCAACGAGAATGATACCGTCTCCGTCAGCGTAGGTATACATCTCGAGAATCTAGCGTCCCACTCGAGTCCGAATATCCTACGTGGTAATTTCATGTCATACGCTTGATATCGCAATCGTTGCAGCGAGTTATCGCGGTATGACTTGGTTACCGCGACGATTGCGATATCAGGGTGGTTTTTGAAGCTGCTAGGCAGGACATCGGTCCAGTGTGCAGTGGTCTCCGTACCGGCCTAACGAACCATTGCTCAGGAAATAAAATTCGGCGACAACGATACGCTGTCTGCCATCACATCGTCCATGATTCACGCCGACTACCTCTTCCTCCTGACCGACGTCGACTGTCTCTACACCTCCAATCCTCGCAAGGACCCGCAGGCCAAGCCTATCCATGTTGTGTCTTCTGTCCAGCAGATTCGATCACAGGGTGCGCACTCATGTCATTTGAATCCACGACTCGAGATAAACAGACATCCGCAGTTAGCACGAGCACCCTGGGGTCAAGTCTGGGTACTGGGGGTATGGAAACGAAGCTCATAGCCGCGGAAATAGCCACAGCAGCCGGCGTAACGACAATCATCACATCGAGCAGAAATCCCCAATCCGTGGTCAGCATCATCGAATACAACAACTCTCTCCGCTCTGGGCATTCCACGCCCGCCGGATCCGGGCGGTCGAGTCCTGTCCATCACTCGCCCACGAACCAAGACAATTCGCTTCCTCTGTCCCGCCCGCCTCATACCGTGTTCCTCCCCTCGCCGACGCCGCTCAGGGACCTGAAGGCATGGACGTCACACACCCTCACGCCGTCGGGCAGCGTGATTATCGACCGCGGCGCGCACCAGGTACTCTCGAAACGGGAGTCGGGCGGGCGACTGCTGTCCGCGGGCGTGCAGGCTGTTCAAGGCGCCTTTGCGAGCGGCCAGGCGGTGCGGATCTGCGTAAGGCGGAAGAAAGGTGTGGCGAACGTGGACGAGGCGGCGGCTGAGCGTGCCCAAGGACGGCTGGAGACGGAAACGCAGCCGACGACGCCGACAATCCTGCCCACGTCGAGTATCACGTCGTCAGTATCGTCACTCGAGAACTTAAACATGAGCACGGTACCTGTGCCGCAGTCGGATGTAGTGCTTGTGGAGAAGAGCGAGGAAGAGGTGGAAGAGGTCGGGCGGGGACTTGCGAATTATAATTCGGCGCAGATCGACAAGGTAAAGGGTTTGAATAGGTCAGCTCTTCTCAATATTTCGCGCTCTTCTATCTGCTAACGTATGCGTTAAAGCTCTTATCTGCCCCAATTACTGGGGTATGCGGACTCGGAGTATGTGGTAGAGAATATTACAATACGTGTGCCTCCGAGTCCGTAACATACCCTGCGTTCCTCGCTGCTGTAGCAGTATCAAAATTGGATATATGAGCGCGATGGCTCCGATTGCAGTAAATTCCTCAGGCATCTTATGTTGTCCATCCTGACATCGCAGTCGAGACTGCGAAATGACATACATGTAGATCCATGACATATTCGTATATGGAAATCCGTTATTTGTCCAAGACAAATAATTCCGGGTAAATGTTTCGCAATTCGATTTGCAGCCTCCTTACAAGCCGCCACTGCCTTCACTTGTGATACTCTAGATTTTTCTATTTTGCCGTCTTCTTGACTCTGTACTACTAGTTCTATTCTCTCTTTACCAGCACAATAGCCGTGACAGCCCTCTGGCTTTAGAATGATACCTGGGAATGCAGTCCGACTCTTAGCGGGTGCGTGCTCGCCGTGTTGAGCAGCGTTCATCGTTGTACTCATCGATCTGCAGGGAACAGTCACCCCGAGCTCGCCCAAGCGGTGGCCGAGCGGTGAGCTGCATCACCTTGCGGTGCACTCGAGCTGTCCACGGACGGGTCATTCACACAGTTGCCTCCCCCACTAGGCTCAACACCCCCCTCACGCCCTGCACCGTGCGCAAGTTCTCCAACGGCGAGATCGACGTGAAGATCTTCGAATCCGTGCGCGACGAGGACGTCTTCATCCTCCAGTCCGGCTGCAGCGACGTCAATGATAACTTAATGGAGCTCCTAATCCTCATTTCTGCATGCAAGACGGCGTCGGCGCGGCGGATCACGGCAGTTATCCCTTGCTACCCGTACGCGCGGAACGACAAGAAGGATAAGTCGAGAGCACCGATCACGGCGAAGCTGGTGGCGAACATGCTGGTGGTGGCGGGGTGCGACCATGTCATCACCATGGACCTGCATGCGAGCCAGATCCAGGGCTTCTTCGATATCCCCGTCGACAATCTGTACTCGGAGCCTATGATGATCGGATACATCAAGAGGAACATTGCAGGGTGGCAGGATGCGGTCATCGTCAGTCCGGATGCTGGAGGTGCAAAGCGGTGAGCTCCCGCGTATCATCTTATCCGAGGGCTCCATGCGACCTTTCAAATTCAAGTGTCACAGCGATTGCAGACAAGCTTGGCGTTGAGTTCGCTCTCATCCACCGACAAAGGAACGGGCACTCGGCGGACGCACCTGAGCGGATGGAGCTGTTGGTTGGCGATGTCCGAGATCGAGTGAGTGTTTCGACTCTGATCAAAACACCGATCAATAATACTGAAGTTGTATCAGATCGTCATTCTTGTGGATGATATGATTGATACGGGTACAACTCTGACGCTGGCTGCGCGTTCCTTGAAGGAAAACGGCGCGCAAAAAGTATACGCTCTTATATCGCATGGTACGTCTCCTCATTTCCGTTACGTGTAATTGTAATCAAGGCTGCCTCCCTAGGCTTGCTCTCTGAGGTGCAGATGAGCCTAATAGACGCGCTTCCGCTCGAACAACTCATTGTACGTACCCCGCACTGCATGTCCACCACCTCACCTTACCTTACCTCACTTCCCGTGTTTAGGTCACCAACACCGTCCCGCAAACACAACATGCAGAGCAATGCAGTAAGCTGGTCGTCATGGACATCAGCTCGACGATCGCCGAGAGTATACGCCGGACACACAACGGGGAGAGCATAAGCTTGCTGTTCGGCGAATGGGCAGACGGGATTGGTATCGGGTCATACTAGGTCGCGCTGTTGTGGAGCTATCATGACCGTGTAGCCAGGACACTGTCATTGGCCCACCAAAATGTATCCATAATAATCTAGAGGATGGGAGGGATTCTATGTGAACACTGTAGCTTACATTGTGTTAGCTGAGTCGTCGCCGGTATGCAAGGGACCGGACAGCAGGCGTTTACTAAGAATAGTCAGGCGCATGGGAGAATCACAAACCACGAGAATATCCTCTCACCGGCTTCCCGTCAATCGTACTCGCACCGGACGTCCAGAGAACCCGGAAGACAGCATTCGCACAGATGCCACACCCGCCAGTCTCGACTCCATTCACATTGGAATATCATGGAACTCCTACCGTGACTTTCTCTCATCGCCTTGGGCATAAAACTGCGCAGCACTGGTACTCGTTCGGGAATAAACCACTCAGCTCATCCCTCACCAGACATGACGACGACCGAGAAACTCAGCTTCACGACTACGAGCCTGCAGAATGTGATCATTTCGAACGAGAGCGACTCGATCTACTACGACGTCAAGACGTGGGAGGAGGACCCCGGCCTGACGAAGGTGCAGAAGCTGAACGCGAAGACGCAGCTGTACGACCTTGTCGCTGAGCTCGAGAACGCTAATGGGAGGCCGGTGGCAGTGCGATTCCAGGGGGGGAACGAGACGGTGAGGGTTGAGGAGTGGTTGAAGATGGAGAACATTGAGAGGAATAGGTGAGTATGAGTTTGGCCAAGGCATGAGCGGATGCTGAGGGCTGAACGGATAAGGTGGGGCACCTGGGATGGGAAAGTGAGTTTCACTGGGAGTAATGGAGAGGTGTATGCGTGGTCGGTAAAGGACGGAGTACTTCACGTGAGTGCTGTGATATTCTGGAAATCTGGGGGGCTTAAAGAGATCTGCATCAAGCTTATGCGAGAGGGGACGACATCCGAGAAGCCTCTGGCCGTATTTCGGCCGTACCAGAGGTGGATGTATGTATTGTCGATCACCGAGGCACCTTCGATCGATGTAGTGCCAGAGGCTCTGGAGATACTTGACGCCCTCATAGGTAAGTATTCGCATGTCGTACCGGGCAGCACTGATCAACGATACACCTAGTGTCATTCCTTGTAACGGAAGGCACGCGTAGGGGGTACTTTTATTGAGTCCATCCCCAACCAGACTGCCGATAATTGGCAGGGCATAATCCATTAAACGTTAATGTAATAGGTAACAAGATTAGTACGCGCTATAGGGAGAATGAGTTGAGCTTCAATAGAATTTTAAAGCAAATCGCCTACCAAAAGAGAATTATGCTTTCATCCCTCGCCATCCTTCGTCGAGGGCGTCCTGGATTAGGAAGTCGTACCAGAACAGCGTTATGGGAGCAGTGGATAAATGCCATAGCGAGTGCGCATCAATTATTCTGAACCACGGGAAAAAGTCGAACAATTCCAAGGCGGTGGCGAGGGTCGTCAACAGGACGAAGGCAGCCGCCTTACCTGCGTAAGCGGGTCGGTATGACCTCGGTCGCAGGGGAAATCTTTTCAGGACAGGTATCCACGATGGCAATGAGTAGAGCAGCCATAGGACGTTGTGGAGGATACCCAGGGTCAGATTGAATACCATGTTGTACGTGTAGTCGAAGCGGGGCAGCGAGAGCAAGTACCCTACATGCGACAGATAGACAGCGATGCACAGCGCAGACCATAGGATATAGGTTTTGGAGTATATTGTGCCACGCCCAGAGGTGAGGGTCAGGCGATTCGATGGCTTCGCAGGATAGATGTGGAAGAACCGCACAACGGTGTAGTATATTGCGTATAGGATGGCAAGCGCAGCAGAGAAATAATCGAGTTTCTCTGTTGTCGGCAGATCTGAGAGTGCATCAGACTAGGCGGAAGCTGACCAGAGCTGCCCAAGGCTAACCTCGCGTATGGAATACGGACGACCAGACCCAGGCATTAACGCTCACAGCAGCCCATGTCAGATAATACCGCTTCATAGGATGGCCATCTGGGACATATCTTCGAATGCGGCTGGCCCCTTTTACGTGGTACCAGAGATTGAGGAGCGAGAATAGAACGGATGCAGGTTCCTGCATGCCCGCGAAACGCCAGAAAGGCCATTTCCCGTAATATTGATGCAGCCTGACTTTTGTCGTGATGTCCCGGTTCGTTATTTGATGCATGCAAGCATATTTACACTCGTCGGCGCATGTCCACCGCGTTATACGCGAAAGCAATGAGGGCGAATACGTCGCGCAACTGCCCGAAGTGCACAGAGAAACGCAAGCTTGATATTCCTGTGAGCGATCCCCGGAAGAGGCCCATCCCGGCAGGACGCAAGAAAACAACAGCAACGTCGCAGCGACCGTACGCTGTACGCCGCCAGCCCTCATAGTAGTCGTTCGTGTCGTTTGCCAGTGTGCGTTGCCGTGGTTCGAGCCGCGTAGCGCTAGACAGCAATCGTGGGAACTGCCGTCCCGCATAAGGCGATTGTGGCGTTACACCCCCACTGCAAGACACAGGCCTAGGAAAAAATAGGAACATCAATATGAAAGTGTGAATCGCAGGCATGATGTGGTGGCGCATATAAATCTGCATACCACAGTGTATTTGATTCATCTTGATCCGCTGGGAAGGGAGGACAATGGGCGAAACGCACAAATCAGGCGTCGCACGAAAGATATTCCCACCACTGAAGATCAGCCACCGAGTGGCGGGACTTCCAACCTGTATCTCTTCCACCACGAACTACCCCGGCACGACCGCTTTTCTACGAACCTTTCAGCTGGAAAAACCTAATTTCACTCTGCAGCACTCAAGAATACTTCTACAGCCTCAGCCGTTCCGTGGCTGTGGACGTGCAAGCGTATCCTTCTGAATTGCCGAATATGGTTCGGATCACCCAATCCTACACGTTCTCAGACTCTCCGTACTTTAACGATCGAGGTGTCCACGGCCACGCGCAACCCATAACAGAACGCGTTAACGTAGGTGTTCGAATGTAGTAGGAAAGAACAGCCTCTTACTCTCCTTAGCCTCACTCAACTCCGATAGTTTCCTACTACTTCCCGAAAGGTGTAGGGGAGCACCACTATGGGGTACGCAAGTACAAACATCACAGAAATTATACGCTAACACAGAGCTGACTAGCAATATCATCCCATGAAACCACACCGGCTCACTTTGACAAATGCCTTGGTGATGGGATACGGCTTGGACAAGAAGATACACAACATCTACAACCCGCCTCTGGCATCGAGAGCCGAACTAGAAGCCTACCACGATCAAGAATATATCGACTTTCTATCAAGGTGAGAGCACGTGCGCCCTGTAATGTCAAGTGTGATACAAACTTGATGCACCTACTAGGGTAACGCCACAGAACCAAACGGAAATGAAGCACCTGATCGACAGTTTCAATTGCACCGAGGATTGCCCCATATTCGCAGATATGTTCACGTTTTGCCGCATGTCAGCCGGTGGCTCGTTAGCCGCAGCGCGGAAGCTCTGTGCGCGGACGACTGATATTGCGATTAACTGGTCTGGTGGCCTGCATCATGCGAAACGTGGCGAAGCTAGTGGCTTTTGCTACGTCAACGACATCGTTCTCGGTATATTGGAGCTGCTCAGGTACATCCTCCTAATCAGGACTTATGCAATGACTTACACAACACCCGTAGGTACTTCCCGCGAGTGTTATACATCGACATCGACATTCACCACGGGGACGGTGTTGAGCATGCCTTCTACCATACCAATCGAGTCATGACTGTATCTTTCCATAAGTACACCGGCGACTTCTTCCCCGGAACAGGGAAACTTGAAGACAACGGGGCCGGCGTGGGCAAGCACTTCTGTCTAAACGTGCCACTACAGGACGGTATCACAGACGACATGTACACTACGCTGTTCAAGCACGTCATCGAAAACGTCTGCCAGCGTTTCCAGCCATCCGCCATCGTCATGCAATGCGGCGCCGACTCACTCGGTCTCGACCGCCTCGGCGCATTCAACCTCTCCATCGCCGCGCACGGCGAATGCGTGAACTTCGTGCGCATGCAGAAGGTGCCACTCATGGTTGTCGGCGGCGGCGGGTACACCGTCAAGAACGTCAGCCGGTGCTGGACGTATGAAACGAGTGTTCTTGTTGGCCAGCAGCTCCCCGACGAGCTGCCCGCGACGGTGTATGACTCGTGGTTCCGCGACTCGCAGTGGAAACTGCACCCGCCGCTCACGGGGCGCGTACAGAATCAGAACACGGCGGCGTCGCTGCAGCGCATCATGCGCGCGGTCGACCAGAAGCTGCGGTATCTCGAGTCTGCGCCGAGTATACAGATGAACGAGCTTCCCCCAAATCTTGAGAAGTGGTTGGCCGAGGAACTCAAAGACGAACTTATGGATACTCGAGAAGACAGAAGCATGGCTCGTAACGAGATGTTCGATGGAGACGGAGACAACGACAGAGAAGATGGAGTTGTTCGAACAGCGAGGGGTGCCACAAGTGGCAGACGTGCAAGAGGCGGTAGACGTGGGCGAGGCAGAGGTAGGGGAAGAGGGGCTCAGACAGCTGCAGTAACTCGAGAGCCCGGGGATGAAGACGGTGAGGAATCAACTCCAGTACCTCCCCCACGAACCAGACGCGGGAGAGGACGAGGTAGAGGACGAGGTGCCGCGCGTAGACGAATAGAAGAAGATCCAGAACCTGAAGAGACGGAAGACAAAATGGAAGAAGCGCAGAAAGGCGTGGAAGTCGAAGAATCGGTTCGTGACGACGAATCGATAGTTCCGACTGGAACTACAGGAACACCAATGGAGGCTGTAGGAACGCCAACAGGTACAGCAGGTACAGGGACAACAGGAACTCCAATGGACGTGGATGTGGACGGGTAATATGTGATATAACTGATGCTAGGTCCTTTCGTTTATGTATGACATCGTCGTAGAGCTCGTCCCTGTCTTCAACTACTGCTCGATTCTGCCAACGACAGCTGCTTGGCCATCTCCAGGTCTCTTTCGAACTGAGCGTCCAGCTCGTCCACACTACCTTGACTTGATTGGGCAGATGTACGTTCCGGTACCTTAGACGGTCCAGAGTCATTTGCTTTGGGTTGAGATTCGTGACATAACGTCTCCCTTGCTTCAGCTTCATATTTCTTGCGACGTTCCGCCGTAGTCTTTCTTGCCTCCACAAACCTGCCCAGGATGTGCCTGCGCTGCTCGATACTGCAGCTGCGTACTGCAGCCAGTCCTTGGGCCATGCGGGTTGTCTCCTGCTGTTTGTCTTGTTTCCGCGCCCAGGAGCCTTGTAAGCTCTTCCATGCACCATTCAGGGGGTGCGTAACCAATCCAAGGGCGCCCGCCGCGGGTCGCATGGTAACATTCACGACTATGAAAGGCGAGGTCAGTCTACGCCATCAAATGAAGAGTGGGAACGCACAACTTCTCGCGGAGCCTTTGATGGCACCGACCACGCCCTGTGTGTAGTGTATAAGCAATTATCGCTCGAGATGATAGAAAAGTTGGGTACCTCTTTCTTCGCCCCCTCTAGAGGTTCTCGGACAAGGCCGGTAATTCCATCGTAATAGCCATAGAAGAGGCCCTGACCATTCATCAGACACGAGCTGACCTGCATAGACAGTATTCTGACCTTGCCTCCCTCTTTCAGACCACTTTTGAAGTTGGTCACTTTACCCGGCGCCCTAACTTCAGATCCATATAGTTTCGGTAGATTGCTGAATCCTTCTTGTACTGAGAACAGGATATCTGCAATCCCTGTGGTCGATTCGTGAGCCGATGAGACAAGTTAACGAACGTGAGACTGCGGGCTACCTTTGGGAATGGCTGTCGTTGTCTTGATAACTCCATTGACAGGAGAGCTGAAGGCGCGTCAGCGAAGCTGGTGGCCGCGCATAACACGACTTACTAGAAGATCTTTGCTATCCCTGTGTAATAGTTCGTGATTGTCCAGAATATCGCACTCGCTCCTCCCGTCACAGGATCCGATATATCCGCCTGGCTTGCGTATTCTTTCGGTCCTGCAAAAATAATGTCATAAACTACGTAATGAAAGACTTGGGAGACATACTATGCGTGTCTAGTTTATCGTAGCTTAGCAGCTTTGCATCTACCAAGACTTGAGCGGCGAGGGCACTCAATCGTAAGCACTAGGTCGGAAATATGTAAGCTCAATAGCGCCAGGTTTGGGAGAGGGGATTGGGACATACATATTTTGTGGACCACCATACGGCTAACTCGGACGGGACCAAATCGCAGCTGGAAGAATAGTTCGTATGCAAGCCCGGGGTGACACGAAGAGACAGCTTTACCGCATATTCAACAGAGGTAGGTGGCGATAAAATGATTCCACCCCTCTTTCCACACCGCTCTAGATGATATAGACGTAAGAACCCTCAGCGGGTGAGGAGCTCTGGGCCAACTGACTTCAGTGCCTATCTGGTCTCCAAGTCGCTTTGCAGCTTGCGTGGCCGCAGGGGTCATTGCATAACGGATTGCGGATGTCAAGTTTTGCACAGACAGTTCCTTCTGCGGTATAGGCGGGGGGCCGGCGCCGGCACGGTTCACCATCAACCCTAGGATTGAGAGCGTCAGATTTCAGGAGGGATATCACAATAACAACGGCGCACCCCAGAATAATTGGTCCCCGAAAAATGGAACAACAACGGTCGGCCGACCACACGCCAGACCTGCCGCTGTCGTACCAGCTCCGCCGTGATGGACGACCGCTGCTACACGGGTAAAGAGCCAATCATGCGGCACGTTACTTTCCTTCCCCAAAATGAGGATATTAGGAGAACTGGAGAGACCCCCTAGTCCTCCCCAGCCCGCGAATAATATAGCCCGGACCCCTGCCTTCTGTACAGCTTGAACTATGATATCTGAATCGAAGATGGTGAGTTGAAATGGAGGCAGAGGATCGAATCGAATCGTCGCTTACTGGACATTCCTTCCGGATCGTCCACCACGACCGAGCCAAACCTAAGCGAGACAAGGAGTCACTTCCGACGGCAGAAAAAAATCTGCATTCATACCCTATATACACGGGCGGCGGCCCGGCGTCCAAGAATTGAAGCAGATCAGAAGGAGGTCGATATTGCGTGTCGGAAGGCATGAAATAAAATCCTACGATGTCTGACGACATATCAAGGATGTTATAGCATGCCACATCCTATGCATGAAAGCTTACCAATGTGGCTCTTCCAGTCTCTGGGTTTCGGGACCAAGGAAGGACTGAGGCAGTATGTAAACGGCACTTTCAATCTGTCCGCCATCCCAGGACCTGATCTCAGCGAGAGGGGCCTCAGGCCTAAGGCCTTTACTCGGAAGGAATTTACTATATCACCTATTCTAATAAAGATAATTCTTGAGTAAGCGAGGGGCTTGGGGTGGCGATAGTAGGACCATTTTAAGATTATATCAGGCTGCCCACTTACCCTTGCCAAGTCAGTAGTTCGGCCATTGCGTAGCTCAGGTAGTTCGTTAGGCCGCGCTCTGCATTGGACGCCTTGATATTCACAAGAGGATGTGGGAAGGAACTCGTCGGACTCCTGGTGATGAATAGAGCGATCATCAGTGGCATCCCAGAGGCAACTCAGGCACAATTTATACCAGGGCATGGCTAAACTTGGCTTAGTATGCAGAAATGACCTGATGAGCACAACGTACTGAAAGAAAGCAGTAAAGGTATTCCCAAAGCCTCCGCGCAATGGATGTGCCCGAAGGCTGGCGGGTTCGATATGATGGCATCGGCAGAAAAAGCTTCGCCAGTTTCGTCATCCGGCTCATAGCACGCTTGCCAGCAGCCGTTTATCATCTATCATATGATTAGACAGCACCATACCTGCAAGACACGCGCCCGTACTTCTCTCAACATATCGCGTTTGCGACCGATATCTCCGTTGGTCAAAGATTCGATACCGGGAATCAGGCCAGGATCTGGGACAGGGGATCAGTGACGGTAACGTGGACAAAGGATCTGAGGAAGTAATAACTCTTGACCATGTAACTCATAAGCTGTTGTGGGTCGCCACCGATGTTGAAAAACTCTAGGCCCGCTGAACGAACGAATTTCCGAAAGGTCTCATGAGTCGCTATCCGTACGCGATGGCCGTCTTGGACGAGTCGCTTCCCAAGAGCCACGTAAGGCTGGACATCCCCTAGTGATCGTTTTAGCATCGTTCAGGAGATCTTGCGCCATCGCCGCTCACCGCGACTGCCTACAATCATGATGACGATGCTTAACCTGGGCACATCACGGGTCTTCCATGCCTCTGTATCCACGGCAAATTCTTTGACTTCAAGCGCATAATCGTCGGGAAGATCGGGAAGCTTCTTATGCAAGTCCAAAGAGACGACTATCCTGCCGTCCTCGACTAGCGTAGCTGTACTAGCTAGTCCTTCGCCCAGAGATTGGTATTGCGCATAATCTTCAAGGTGTAAGCGCAACTAACACACTCTAGTCTGTCTGCTCACCGGCAGAATAAGGGCGATCAATGGTCTTCACATCAACGAAGCTACCTTGCCCGGTATCGGGATATTCTGCATGACCTTGTGGCAAAATAGGACCATCCGCGTCATTGTCTTGACGCATATGAAAGGGCAGTGTTGCATTGTCCATGTCGTAATGAATTCGAAGTATACGGTGCGTCGCGGTGGTGGTTGTGAGAGTATCTGTGTCAGGTCGCGCGTCTGTTCGTGGAGCTGCGGCCTAAAGGGCACCCGATGCGCCGGTAGTTTATTTGGGTCGTCTTTTACATACCCGCCTGAAGTTAGTGTTGCTGTAAATCCTGAGTAGAACGATGCTCAGCCTCTGTACGCAATACTGTACAGCGCATGCGCAGTACGCTTGTCGTAGCACATCTCTTACCGATCGTGTTTGTTTTGCCACATCGGACATCGGCCCGCTGCACCGAACGTCATCATCCGGGTGCAAAATGATACAAATTTGAAAGTAGATTGTGGTATACGTATATGCTATGCGTCAGAGTCATGGGACCAACTGAACCTGCAGGTACACCGCAAGATAAAAGAACAAAAAGGACAACCATCCAATTACCAGCGGGTCAGAAAATATCGAGGCAATGAATAAGGTTGTACGTCGTAGGGTAAGGTTGGAATATGTAGGCAGTAGGCGAAAGTGATGCCACAGTCTGACGTGCGAGAGACGTTCAATATGGGTGGGGCAGAAGGCTCAGACAGCGGCAGTAACTCGGAAGCCTGGGGACGGGGATGGTTAGGAATTCGAGATGACTCCGTCGGGAACCAGACGCGTGAGGGGACCAGGTACCACGCAGAGAAGAAAGGAGGAACATCCAGAACGTGAAGAGAAGGAAAACAAAATAGAAGAGCAGAAAGCATCAGGAACGCCAACAGGCACGGCAGGCACACATACGACAGCAGCTCCAAAGGAGGTGGATGTGGACAGGTACTTGATACGTGTTGTATACGGAGGCTAGGGCTTGCCCCTCATGTTTGACGTTGTCGTAGGACTTGTCTCTCCTTTTGTCTCCCACTCGATTCTGCCAACGGCAAGCGCTTCGCCATCTCCACTTCTCGTTCGAACTGTGCGACCGACTTGTCTTGACTTGAGCGCCCCGATGTGGCTTCCGGTGCCTTCGGTGTACCAGAGCCAGTAGCCTCGGATGGATGCGGCCGATAACCGCTAAATAACGTCTTCCTTGCTTCAGCTTCATACTTCTGGCGACGCTCAGCTGTAACTTTTCTTGCTTCCACGAAATTGTCCAGGATCTGCCTGCGCTCGCTGAAAGCGCTACTACGCGCAGCAGCCAGTCCTTCGGATATGCGAGATGCCCGCTGTTGCTTGATTTGTTCCCGAGCCCAGGAGCTTTGCAAGCTCTTCCATGCACCATTCAGTGGATGTGTGAATAGTCCAAGGGAACCAGCTGCGGGACGCATAGTTGCATTCACAACTGAAGGAGAAATCAGTCTAAGGCAGCGAAGTCGGACAGAGACGCACAGCTTCTTGCAGAGCCTTTGATAGCGCCGACTACTCCCTGTGTGTAGTGTATGAAGTGGATCCCAACTTGAGACATCAGAGAACCAGCTTGCCTCCTTCTTTGCCCCTTCCATAGGTTCGCGAACTAGACCGGTAATGCCATCATAGCAACCGTATACGAAGCCCTAACAACATTGTCAGACATCCAGATAGCTCCAGGGACGGTTGTCTACACATCCTCGCTATCACAGCACGACCTGAATCCGCACACGTGGCTTACTTACCGATGTGACCCTTCCAGTCTTTAGGTTTGGGAACTAATGAAGGGCTGAGGCAGTAGGTGAATGGCACCTTTAGTCTATCGGCGATGCCAGGGCCCGATCTCAATGACAAGGGTCTAAGGCCTAAGGCCCTCGTGCGGAAGTCGTTCACTATGTCACCTATGCTGATGAGACAGACCTCGAGTAAGTGCGATATCACGAGATACCATCGTAAGCTTTGAGAGCATGCGGGTTCCCTACGTACCCTTGCCAAGTCAGTAGTTCGGCCATGGTATAACTCAGGTAGTTCGTTAGGCCGCGCTCCGCATTCGATGCCTTGATATTCACAAGGGGATGAGGGAATGATTTAGTCGGACTCCTGACGAAGAATGGTGCAATCGTCAGGTACGTGCGAGCAAACATCCAAGGCATATATTATACCAGGGCATCGCTAACTATGTTTTAGCACGCAAAGCGACAAATGAGCATCAACGCACTGAACGAGAGTTGTAGAGGTATTCCTAATGCCTCGGCACAATGGACGTGCCCAAAGGCTGGCGGATTGGATATGATGACATCGGGAGCAAATGCTTGACCTGTTTCATCATCTGGCTCATAGCATGCTCGCCAGCAGCCGTTGATCATCTGTGATGTGATCAATTTACCGCCGCATCGACGGAATACTAGTATACGCTCGTACTTCTCTTAACATATCGCGTTTCCGACCGATGTCGCCGTTGGTCATAGATTCTATACCAGGGATAAGGCCAGGATCTATTACGGGGAATCAGCAAACAGAGACACAAGAGAAGATCCAAACTACTAGTTACTCTTTACCATGTAGCTCATCAATTGCTGAGGGTCACCGCCAATGTTGTGAAACTCTAGACCGGCTGAACGAACGAATTTCCGAAAGGTGTCGTGAGTCGCTATGCGAACACGGTGCCCATCCTGGAGAAGCCGCTTCCCAAGAGCCACATAGGGTTGGACATCCCCTATCGACGGTCTTGGGGTAGTCCATGAGATCCACATTGACTTTGCTTACCGCGACTGCCCACAATCATGATGACGATACTCAACTTGGGTACGTTGCGAGTCTTCCATGCTTCAGTATCCACAGCGAACTCGTCGACTTCCGGAGCGTGATCCTCGTGAAGATCGGGGAGCTTCTTCTGTAAGTCAAAAGAGACTACTATCCTGCCGTCTTCGTCTAGCGTAGCGGTACTAGCCAGTCCTTCGCCGACTGACTGATAATGCGAATAGTCTTGAAAGAGTTAGCCTAACCTTAACGCACAGTAACCTGGTTGCTCACCCGTGAAATGAGGGTTATCTATGGTGTGGATATCAACGTAGTGACCTTCCTCTTCGGCATGTTCTGCGAGAGGTTTTGGCAGGATAGGCCCATCCGCATCGTCGTCTTGACGCATATGAAAGGGAATTGGTGCGTTCGTCATAATGTACACCTGAGTACAACTAGTATTGCGGTATTAAGGCTGTGATGCAGGTGTCTGTGCAGCCCCTATTCGTATGCTGCGGCCTGAAGACCCCGCAATCGGGACCGTCAGATGCGCCGACGGTGCTGTCTGGGGACATTACGGTCCACAGCGTTATTGTTGCTGTATACTGGAAAGACACCCCACCGGTGTATTGCGCAGGATCCGGACATACGCTTGCGTTTGGCTTGCGTCTGTAGACAGCTCTGCAGATGTGGCCATGGTACTTCGGGCCACCCCACTCTTCGGACCTCGGACCGGTTAACCGCCACCATAAATCGAGGGCTAAAATTTCGTGCATCAATTGTTGATGTATTTACATGATGAGTGAGTCGTCAAGACCGGCCTGACCTACTACTGGTACAGAGCATGAAGGCAGAGCAACAAGTACGAGAATGAATAACCACTGGGACAATAAATACGGCGGCGACAAATAACCTGGTAATACAAGCGAAATCTGATTGAATGGAGATCAAGTGGAATAAGCGACGAAAGCGTTATAGTTGTACGAGCTGGGGTTAGGATTGAAGGTATACCCAGTGGGTGAAAGCGATGCTACAGTCTGACCGTTCCTGGTGACCGTGCCCGACATGGAGCCACCAGGGGTAAGTGGAATGTTCAAGAGTGATAACCCAGCATTGACAGAGAAGGTCTTGGAATTAGTCGAAGAGGTGGACAAGGTGACAGTCGACGATGCGGTGGTCATGACGACAGCCCAGAGTTGATCTTGATCCTACAACAGGCGAGGGTAAGTAGTCACATTGCGCCGCCACCACGTATCACTCACCAGCTGATAGCTGGTGGGTGGCCCCACAGGGTCCGACGCGGTCGCATTCCTAGGGTGAGGACGAGCCCATAGATAGATCTTGTCTTTCGTGATGGTGGGATAAGAACCCGTTTTGAACGCAGTGATGAAGTAAGGCGTCATGTCCAGCCATCCTGAGAAAATAGTCAGACACATCCATGAGGCGACGCATGACTCCGTCTACCTTGATGATCGAACCCGTTCACCCAGGCCTCACTCATAGGTTGTGCGCCCTCGATGGGCCCGATATAGTGAGATTCCCCGTAATCATTCCAAGTTACGATTTCGACGATGTCTACGCTGTCGCGCAGAGAGACCAGATTCTGCCATCGGCGTGGATAAAGGTGCCAGTCTGCGAGATAGATCCACTAAATCATATTGGAACTACATTAGTGAAAACCATGAAAGGCAGCCGGGGAAAACACCTACGTTCTTATTGTAAGTGTCAGGGCCGTAGTGCGTGAAGAACCACGGAGAAACAGCAGCCATGTACGCGCGATTATGTCCATCGTTCGACATAGCTGCGATACCGCTGATGTAAGTCTTGTCTGTGTCAGTAGCACCGATGTAAGACTGCAGAATCTTTTCTCCCGCAGAGTTCAAGTTATCCAGGCTGGTACCAGCTGCCGAAAGCTGCTGGTTCGCGACGTCAGTGGTCAACGATATGGGCCAGCCGGAGTTCCACTACAGGTGAGGTTAGTGGGTCCTCTTCAGATAGGCTGAGGGTGGTCTCTTACGTTGAAAGCGCCGTTCATCACATCGTTATACGTGCTGAACGTACCGGGGTCCACAAAGAATGACGGGACGAAGTAAATCGAGTTGCTACCCGTCAGTTTGTCCACGAACTGCGTCTGCCATCCTTGGACCACCGACGATTGACCGAAGGTGCAAGATTCTCCTGCGAAAGTGGATACAAATACCAGGCCATCATACTTGAATTGACTTGGATGAGATACATAGTCCGTCACGTGGCCCACAAGTGCGGCTGCGTCCTGAGCAGTTGCACAAGGGAGCGCTCTGATAATATCAGAATCAGAGATGTGTTAACAACTTGCGAGTGACAGACATACGTCATATCAAACGAGAAAAATAATTTGAAGTTGGTGCCCGAATTTTGAGCGGCTTTGTATCTAGTAATTGAATAATTCCGGAAATGTCAATGCAATGGAACAAACTCCTGGCAAGAAGCGACATACGCGTCTGCAACTCTGTCAAATTCCCATGACAGGCTGCCGACGTTCAGCGCAAAAGCGTCAATACCGTGCGAGGAGGCCAGCTCAATGTCGTTGGCCCAGTCGTCGACGGTGTAAGGATACGTGTTACCGACGATATGGTGCGCTACGACATATTTGGTGGTCGACTGCCTTTTCACCTGCTGGGAAGATCTAGCCTCGGGTGATTCGTTCAAGTATAAAGCGTTCGCCAAAACGGCGAGCGTCGAGAAGAGGAGGGCGGCCGGGAACATGGCGCACAGGAGTCTTGGATGGCTACGCAGGACACAAGACAAGTCTGAGGAGTATGGTGTTCGAGCAGGAGGGTTATATAGCAAGATGTGAAGCCCAGAGATGATAGCAATGAGGCGTTCGGGGCAGAATCTCGCGGTAGAGTAGACTTGTGGTCGTTGGGCGGACTGCTTTCCGAGGCGGCTTTCGGGATAACATCAGGGTGCAATCATGGACCAGAGCAGATTGTAACATGAAGGTAACAATCATGGGGCCATGTGCACACCGGTCGCGCTGAGCTCGGGTCGGTCGATATGCGCATATCGAGGATATCGGGGGGATATTCCTAGTCGGGTCCACGTAGATGTGGAGCAGTGCTGAGACATGGGACACAGAAATACACCTCCCGCGATGATGCAACCATGCAAAGAATCAGAGACAAAGCCCACCCGTCCTCGAGCTCGAGATCGTCCCAGAAGCAAGAGGTCAGCCAATGCTAATCAATCAGCGAGATGCAACTGCGAGCAGTATGGGTTCACTGAGTGTCCGTCACTGCACGCACCGGATCCATCAGCCCACGCAGTAAACGCAGATCATAGTGCGCATGCGACTGAAGACATTGCACCAGGCGGAAGATTCTCGACTGCTGAATCGGAATAAAGAGCCCATGAAATTTCAATTATCGTCAAAGCCGGAAGTGGGGAAGTAGAAACATTGATGGGCCGCACTGCGTTCGAATCCTACATGTCTTCGGTCCTGGACAACAATTTCACCCGATGGGTGCTTCGTCTTTGGCTAGAGCAAATGTTCGACATCGACTCTCCCATATCTGAGAGGAAGCGCATCGTGGAGATCGTCCATGGGACCAACACTTCACACACCTGTCGGGATGGCATCAACGTTGCCAGGTGCTCTCACCAGACTGGACTTCATCCAGATGTGCTACGGGTTCAGGCATGAAAGACGCAGAAAGGTAGTCTGTTCGGCTGCCGACCGGTATCAGTCTAAGACATCAGGAAAACCCTCCCAAGCTAATTAGACATAATTTAGACAAAATTATGCATGATGACAAAAATCTTTGTTATATGTATAATGGCTGCATAATCCAGAATGACCAACAGCTAATCTACATGTCCCAGTTTCAAAAAAGTAATATACAGTTGTTAGCAACTCTAGGACATGGTCTTGCGTTAATATGTTTGGGCAGTTCCTTGAGACTGCCTCCGTGCGCGATCTCTGCAGTCATTGCTGCAGGGCAAGTATATGAAGTAATTTGATGATGAATAGTCACGTACCCTGCATAGCATCCATCCCACCGCATAGTTTCGGTGTTCGAGCTACTAATAGTAAGGAATGAAAGGAGGAAACCCACAGGTGCCACGACGCGTATCGAACCCGTGCGAACCCACATTGATGGTGCGGGTACGCGGGTACCTGCAGGTTTCGGTTTCGAGGGCACATTAAACAACGCATCCTCGATACCCATCAGGTCACAGGTACGGCGAAACATGACCCGTACCCATGCCAGGATAAGGAGGTGACCCGTGCCATTCATGCAAG